GGAGTCTAGGAGGCTGAAATTTTAGGGTAATGACCCCCTGCCCACGCTCAACCTTGCCCATTCAAACTCAGCGTTCCCGCGCTCTCGGGTATCACATACGGACTAGTGAAAATTTCGGCGGGTAAACTAACTCGGGAATCACGGAAAGATATTCACCCTTCAAGGCTTCGAATCCAGCTTTCATGCGCCGGTGCGTGAAATTTTTAACTGTTTTCCAGTGTTTGAACTTTTTTTGCATAGACTAAAGTACAACGCAGTGAAAATCATTAATTGGCAATCGTTCGATGGGCTGGATTGTACAAAACGCATGATCGCACCGGTGCATTGCTATTTATTTAAAATCATCTCAATTTTTGCGAAATAGTAACACCAAAAGTCACAGGCTCAGATTTACCAAACAACGTCCCTTTCTAAATGTGTCAAAAGCGTTCAGCTCAAAAATTAAGAGGAAAAAACTGCGCAACTGGAAGTAATCGTTTAAAAAGTTCCGGCCGAATCAAGCCCAATGTGAAGCAGTATTATCTGAAGCAGCAAACTGCATAGAATTTTTATTAATAAAACTTCGACATTTAAAACGACAACAAATAACAATCAAAGTCAAAACTCCTCCAACTTCCTTAAGGTCTGAAAACTCACAGAAGCGGACGCAAAGCTTTGCCAGCAGCAATTATGTGCTGGTAAAAATCTCCCGAAGAATTGGTCGGAAACAAACTGAAGGTGGTTTTGACTTCGCTGGTTTGCACCAGCATCAAGTTGACATCAAAAAATGACAACAATTAACAAAATAACAACAAAAATGCATTCATACATATGTATGCTTTCAACGTGACGCAAGGGCTAGGAAGCAATCCATCAAAATTTCAGTTTCCAGACTGCATCGAAAAACATCACCCCACTACATTTAAAAGATAAAGGCAGTTTGCACCATAAAATATCACCTTACACATGGCGCCTGCGTGTTGGTCTATTATTCCAAGCTTTTTAATTCGAAAGATAACTATGTACCAACCAGCAGTGCATGGCTGAGACTGCTGCTAGCTTGCTAGCTCTTTAGAACAAAGATAACAAAAAAAAACTTACTTAATCTTGAACTTACTTAATCTTGATCTTAGGCACTGTAAGCGAAATAAAATAACGAATAAATGTAACTTTTAAGGATCACTGGCCAAAGCATTCTCATCCCACACTGAGGCCAAAAATTGGCTTCCAATATTTCCTGGCCTGCTTTGCCAGGCAGTGCAGCAGCATAAGAACATCATCAGCATCATTTGTTCTCCGTGCAGTTTTATTTCTGGCGTTTGTTTCAGGTGCGTAAAGAGAAGAAAGCACCAAACTATTTCCCACCACTGCTCACTTCGTCTTCAGCGCTCTGCTCTTCCACTACCATTTTTCCATCGAGTTCTGCAGTACTGGTGCTAACAAGATTCGTCTCTTCTGTTGTCGCAATGTCCGCTTGTTCCAGGTTTCTGCGTTTCTCGGCTTCTTCTCTGTTCCGAAGTGCTTTCGATTGTCTTTTCGTCCACATCACTTTTTCTAAAAATGCGAAAAAGTGCTTTTTTATGAATATATCAAAAATATAAAAATCACAAAAATCCTTATAGATAATTAATGTTATTACGGCAATGCTCGAGCACACTGGGCCTAACTGCACCAATTTTCGATTCTGAGTTGCAAAACTTACAGTTAGCACCCCGTTTAACAGATGCGAGATTTCTGGAAAGTTGTATTATGATGGTAAGACGGGTGCAAAATTGATGTTAGGCTTAGTATCAGGATATTTTAATCTGGCAGCTGATTTAAACTACTTAAATTCTTTCTGTGTTCATCATCTAAGAATTATTCCACTGAGAAATAATTCGCCTTGGTCAAATTATTTTCGCTGGCTTCCACCCGAAAACTTTTAACTAATCGTTGTCATTCCTAATGTCAAAAATAAATTTTGGGGCATCGAATTTTGAGAAATTCACACAAGGAAAACAGAATCTGCATAAACTACATGGAACTCAAATAAGCAAAATTATTTGAACATGATCAAAACAGAAAAAAATTCACCAAAATCAGAGGTATCGCAACCAAGCAGGCGTAACGCATGAATTCTTTCCTCTTTACTGACGTATGGTGCGAGACTTTTCGCACCTAGCCATGCACAAATTACTTGTTTTACGCTGAAAAAGTGGTCAATTAATGAACAAATTATCAAGAAAAGACCTAGCCTAACTTGAATGAGAAATGATACCACGAATATCCGCCATTTTATGCTTTTAAATTAAATTCAATGAAATTTATGCATCACGAAGTGCACTGTAAGAAATCTTAAAATTAAAAAAAACTGATTTTTCGAAAAATCCCAACGAAATAAAGTGATAAAATGTACCTGTTAAATTCAGTAACAAGAACGATACTTCCAGCGCAAATACCGTTTAGTTTCTGATCGCATTTTAGCTTTTCTCTTGGAAAATTCTCATTACCGTTATCCGTTTTCAAAATGTTACACATGTCTTCTACATCAATTTCTACGACCCGCTTTTCCATGAACGGTAAAATTGTCCGAACGCCCTAAAAAAGTTGGTTTTAAGAAAAAGAACAGCAGCAGTAATATTTTCAATGAAAACCGGATCTAAGTATGAAAAATGAAAAGATATGCAGCAAATACCAACGTCTTGAGCCATTCGAAAACGACATAAATTGAATTTGTTCTCGACGCGTCCAAACATACGAATGCCTGCATTGATTACTTTCACCTAAAAAAAGGTAATAACTGACAGCTTCTACCTTACTTAGCTCGAGGTAGCTGGGTTCTGAAGCAAACGAAAAGAGCACAGAAACTGAAAAATAGAAGAGAAGAAACACGACAAAACAGTTATTTCCAACGCAATTTATTTACATACATTTCTTATTACTCAAGCAAAACAACTATTACTTTTCGAGATTAAGAGAGGAAATTTTTGAGATCAAGACAGAAAATTATCAAACTACTCACACTAAATATTTACTCGTGGTAGACATGCATTGGAAAAATATTTTAAAAAAGTTGATTAATATCTTTTGCAAGATATACCTTGATCCAGTTGATCGAATATGAACCAGGGTTTATCCTTAGCTTTTTTCTTCCTTTCAAAGTACTGCGCTAAGGAGAGGCAAGCAAACCTCAAAAGAACTAAGAAAGAGAAGTTACCTTGTCTTGATTGTCGAGTAAAAATCGCTTAACAGCACTGTTGACGAAATACAATGTTCTCTTCTTATCTATTTCGATTGTACGACCCAGAAGATTCTCATAAGGAAAAGCCTCCGAAATTCCATAGTAACTCCTGAAACTTTGTTTTGTTACTAACCAAAAAAACACTTTAAGAAAAGATATTTTTAGAAAGAAGATATAAAATGAAGGTTATTGGAAGGGGGGACGCTCAAAGCCAAAGAGGGGCAAGAGAATAAAGTGTAACAAACATACGCGATGTCCTTCCAGCGTGCATCATCTTTTTCGAGAAACACAAATGGATCTTCTTTGAAAGTCTTACGTCGTTTTACTGGCGGCATTCTGAAACTTGCTGCATTATCATTAAAATCTCGAACAAAAATTATAGTTCGATTCGACGAGCATTTACTGTCTTGCCAACTTTATCATATATCTGTGACAAAATTCATCAAAATCATCCCATTAGGCAACAACCCAACACATTTTGATAGGCTAATTTTTCTTCCATTCTGTCTTTTTATGCCTTTCTTTGCAGCTATATTGATGAGGGGTTGTCTGTGTATCTGTGTTCGCGTTTGTGCCGATTTTTCATCTCAATACCTATAAAAGCTGCAGGGTTGAAAATTTGGGAACTTAATGTACATGTACGTACAGGCCTCAATCCCCAAAATGGGCGCCCTTACCCGTGTGGTACCCATGCACGAGCCCATCAAAATTTTTTTACGGTTAAGCTGCTAACTTGGGAATCTGAGAAGCTATTAGACTGGAATTTTGAAGGGATGTTTCCTGACAGTGCTGACGTCCAGTCTGAGATTCTTTTAGCTAGAAGCATTTGCCGGAAAAACCAGTGCCGTTAGCGACAAAAACCTGCGGGGAGGTATGCAAAAAACGCATTTTCGCACGGGCAACCCGTGCTTTAGCCAATTATTTATCTTCCAATGCAGAGCAAAACTATGCACGAAAAAAGTGGTGGTCATTGGGTAAAAAGCACGAGCCCTGTTTGCTGAAAAAAAGCCATCAGTTTTCAGTAAACCACGATGCATTCTTAGCGATTAAATATACCCGCACAACGAAAATGATCCGCTTCTACTTCCTTGTGAAGCCATTTTTGGTGCGCTAGGCTTGAAATTGAGCAGAACGGAAAGAATTCAGTTACATCAGTGACGCAACGCAATGGTGGGAAATAGTGGAATAACACCTATCCAAAACAATTAGACGGTGAGAATACAATTTTTTTTTAAATTCTGATTATTACATGCCCATCTATATAACTATAGACATATGTGTATGGCACGCTTTGAGGATGTTCAGTGCAATTCCGTCAGATATCAAAACAAACAAACTGGAAGAAAGAAACAAACCTAAATGCTTGTTTAAGCTGGTTGTCGTTCAATGCTTTTGTTTTCTTTAATACGGCAATGAAAAATCCTCCAGTATCTTGCATATGCGGCAAAACTCGAAAGCTGGAAAAAAAGAATTTAGTAGAGAACACCATCTAACACATATTACAACGTAAAACAGTATGAAATTTGAAAAAACAACATTTATTAACAAAATAAATTTTTTCGAAAACTAAAAAAATTGCTCCATCAGATTCCAGTGCTATCACCAGGTGAAATCCAAGGCGCTTCTCAACGAACTTAACAAAAATTAAAGCAAAATTTGCATTTCACTATAACAGATGGAGAGTGCAATTTCAAAAAAACACCGTTCACAAATGCCTAAACTAAATGAACTGAGAAGCAGTGTTTCATTTAAAAATGCAAAATGACTTACCAGCGTTCCAAATGAAACTTTTGCATTTCTTCTTCATTTGGTGGGAACATCGAAGACGTAAAAGACCGTCTTTGTTCGCTGTCAATATCTTCGAATTTACTGAACTCATGCATCGCTTTATCGTAAACCTAAAAAATTAATCAAGGTAAAGTCAAATTAATTAAAGTAAAGTCAAAGTGAAATGTGAAAAGGGAAAATGGAAATAAGGGTTCTTAAGGGGGTTAAAAAAGAGGGGATGAAAGGGAAAATAAGGAAATAAAACGGGTGAGAATGCAAGCGCATTACAAATACGAGTAAAATGGGATAAAGGGGACGAATGTATAATTAGGTTTTTAGGGGTGTAAAAAAAAGAGGAAAGAGGAAGAAAATGCAGAAACTGTAAACACGCAGGAATGCAAACTGCATTCTGAGTCATAGAGCAAAAAGAGAAAAGAAAATAGAAAAAAAATATTATATAATTTTTATAATGAGAAAAGCAAACTTTACAATAATAAAAAAAACCATGATTAATATTAACTGAATGATACTCATACAATATTGACCGAGCACACTAGGAAGACTGCCAACAGAACGATAGGCATACTTCTTTACTTGTTTTAAGCTATGGAGATGCTTTGGGTTCAGAAAAAAGCAAAGTTGGAACGCTGCCAACATCTTCAGTGATCAATGTATCACAACAAGTACCAATTTCACCATCCGTTGTCTTTTGTAATAATAGTTTCGGCAAACACTGCTTGTATACTATTTTTGCCCCGTCACAGAATTAAGGAAAGTTCTAAAGCAAACAAATCACCTTCCACTTCGACAGCCCTGGCTTTCGCTTAAGTTCAGGCAGTTGCTCAGAAACATCAACAAGCTCCAAGGCACCATCAGCAGAGCGAAGTAATGATGCGATAACAGCCTCATCTTCGACTGGATTCAGCGAACACGTTGAATACACCATTATACCTGTAATCTTAGCAGTAAAATCTCCAATTCGGCCAAAAAAACTTAAAAGAAAGCCAGTTTCTATATACATAAGTTTGTTACTTCAGTTCGCTTGCTGCCGTCCCAGACAACTTCAGGCAGCACTCTCAAGCTGTTACAAGGACAAAAAAGGTCCATTTTGTTCACCTTTCGTAAGTTTAACATTTCGATTTAAGCGAAATATGTTATGTTAGGAAAATAAATTTGCAACAAAAAACAATTTTTTGAAGAAAAAAACATTACGCATTTCTAGATTCTACACAGCAGTGCTGTTCAAATGTACAAAACAAACAAGAGGTAGGGTCCATGATCCGCTGAAGAATTAATCAAGATGATGTTTCACTATTGCGCCCCTCTCACCATCTGCTCGTTTCTTTCCTATTTTAAGCCTTTTTCGCCTAATAATCCTATACAACTGTTCAAATGGTTACTACTACTACTACTACTACTACTACTACTACTACTACTACTACTACTACTACTACTACTACT